TCCCGCGCGCTCTTGCGGATTCGTAGGAAACCCAACACTTTTTAAACATTTCTGTCAAACGGGCTTTTGCGAGCAACTTTTTCGAACTTCTGCAACAACGGTTGCGCACCTGCCAGGGCCATCATCCCTGTCAAATAATACCATGCGGGACACATTCGTTTTTTCTTCGCGCGCGCACGCCGTCGTCGTCGGCCGCGGGGCCCTGAATAGTTGCCACGGTCGTCCGCATGCCACGAAGTGAAGTGTCCGAACGTCATAGGGCGGGAAGCTGGGTGTGGGTGGTGGCGTAGAGTCGTTTGGAAATGTGGTAGAGCTTGAACCGGCCCCCCCACAAAGTGGGGGTATTGGCGGGCGTCGTATGAAAACCCTGGCACTGGTGAGAACGGAGTGTCCCACGTGCTAGTAATTGTTGTTGTTGTTGTTGTTGTTGTTGTTGTTGTTGTTGTTGTTTGTGTTGTTGTTGTTGTTGAACATTATTAATTCTAAAGAATAATTATTGTTGGGGCCCCTGGTGCACGGCCCCCCTGCGCCGCCTAGGCCGCAGCTACATTTTCATCATTTTCGTGAGGAAGCCTCAGGTAAAACGATGTGATCCAGATCCGGTTGTTTTGCTGTAATCCGTTTTCCCTTGCAAAAAACATTATAAAATGACATTTCTTGTTCTAATATAATCAAATTTCAAGAATCCCTTGCAAAAAATAAGGTAAAGTGGACATTCGCGCGCGCAAGACGAAATCCTTCCAAAACCTTTGTGTTCGCAGCGATTTTAACATAAAAACATCAAAAAACCAATGGTTTTTCAACAAAAAAATGACAAAATCTCATCCCGCGCGCTCTTGCGGATTCGTAGGAAACCCAACACTTTTTAAAAATTTCTGTCAAACGGGCTTTTGCGAGCAACTTTTTCGAACTTCTGCGACAACGGTGGCGCACCTGCCAGGGCCATCATCCCTGTCAAATAATACCATGCGGGACACATTCGTTTTTTCTTTGCGCGCGCACGCCGAAATCTCCAAAAACCATTGGGTTTCTTACGAATTTTTAGCAACGCCATAGGGACAAAACCATTCGGACAAACCATTATCTCTCTTGTGTATTCCACATCCCTCAGGAATTTGCCCTAAAGATGTGATCAACTATCTTGTGAGTACGTATCATGTGTATCATGTGTATCATGTACCATATAAGCATTAATATGCAACAGATGTTCTGTGGAAGCTTAACAACTTTCTGTGGGTTTATACAAGGTAACATATCACCTTAACAACTTTCTGTGGGTGTACGAACGTAGGCTTAACAACTTCTGTGGGTGTGTACTCCACGCCAGTGTAGTAGCCACGGTCGTCCGCAGGCCACGAAGTGAAGTGTCCGAACGTCATAGGGCGGGAAGCTGGGTGTGGGTGGTGGCGAAGAGTCGTGGGGATATTTGGTAGAGCTTGCACTGCCCCCCACAAAGTGGGGGTATTGGCTGGCGTCGCATGAAAACCCTGGCACTGGTGAGAACACTGAGCGTTCGGGTAAAGTGATTGTTGTTGTTGTTGTTGTTGTTGTTGTTGTTGTTGTTGTTGTTGTTGTTGTTGTTGAAAATTATTACTTCTAAAGAATAATTATTGTTGGGGCCCCTGGTGCACGACCCCCCCGCCGCGCCTAGGCCGCAGCCTCATTTTCATCATTTTCGTGAGGAAGTCTCAGGCAAAACGGGGGAGTCCGGATCCGGTTGTGTTGTTACGATCGGTTTTCCCTAGCAAAAAATAAGCTAAAGTGGACATTTCTTGTTCTAACATAACCAAACTTCAAGAATCCCTTGCAAAAAATAAGGTAAAGTGGACATTCGCGCGCGCAAGACGAAATCCTTCCAAAACCTTAGTTTTCGTAGCGAATTTAACATAAAAACATAAAAAAAAAAACCAATGGTTTGTCAAAAAAAAATGTCAAAATTTCATCCCGCGCGCTCTTGCGGATTCGTAGGAAACCCAAAACTTTTTAAAAACCCACACTTTTTAATCATTTCTGTCAAACGGCTTTTCGGAGCAACCTTTTGCGAAACTTCTGCAACACCGGATTATTGACGCACCTGCCAGGGCCATCATCCCTTGTCAAATAATTACTTGCTGGGACACATCGTTTTTTCTTCGCGCGCGCACGCCGTTCACTCGTCGTCGTCCGCGGGGCCTGAATAGTAGCCACGGTCGTCCGCAGGCCACGAAGTGAAGTGTCCGAACGTCATAGGGCGGGAAGCTGGGTGTGGTGGTGGCGAAGAGTCGTGTGGATATTTGGTAGAGCTTGCACTGCCCCCCCACAAAGTGGGGGTATTGGCTGGCGTCGCATGAAAACCCTGGCACTGGTGAGAACACTGAGCGTTCGGGTAAAGTGATTGTTGTTGTTGTTGTTGTTGTTGTTGTTGTTGTTGTTGTTGTTTTTGTTTTTGTTTGTTGTTGTTGTTGTTGTTGTGAACATTATTATTTTTAAAGAATAATTATTGTTGGGACCCCTGGTGCAC